TGTAGACGTGATGAGAAGGGCTCTGTTAGTGCTAAACAGAACGACTTGGAAAGCACCATCTACAACAAGAGCAGCAATCACAAGCTTTGAGTTTCTGCAAATTAATATTCGCGTGAAAGTATATAATACTACTAAATGTGAATTTTCAAAATGCCAGACATCAAAAATATCTTCTCTCAAAATACTTTTGTAATAAGTTTTTTTTTTTCTAAAATAGCGATTATTGGAATTAGATTTTGTTAAATATTTCCATTCGCCTCATAATATATAAAACCCAGCTATTCCTCTTACTATGCCATCAGTTTCCAGGCTTGATAGATGGCCTATGGATGCAGAACCCAGCCTTCATAGGGAATGTACTGGAGGAGAATTAATGCTGGCCATGTGGCCACTCAGGTTCTTTCTGAAGATATTGTTCATTGATTCCTTGAAACATGAAGGGGCTAATACCTCTGTATATTAGTGCTGGGTTTCTTTTGACAACACAATGTCATCACAACAAAATCATAAATGTCATTAAAATTCCACAGATTTCATTGCAATCATTCATTATATTTGACAATTAACTACCTCAAAAAGTTTCTTACCTTTCAGCCAAGCTTGAAATCGCTCTAATAGTTCAAAACAAAACAGCTGTGAGTGTGACTTGCCAGACACGCACTCTCTGGCCCATTTATCTTTTTCTACATCCTTTTCTGTATTACTGTCAGGGCAGGTTAAAAGCATGGAAATAACGCCTCAGGTGAATTATCGCATGAGCTTTCCTGCTATTGGCATTTTGAAATGAGATTAAAGTGCCACAACACCTGCTCTTTTTAATAACTCTTTATAAAACTGATCGTGTTTTTATTAACTAATAAGTAAAACTATTTTACAGCCACGTTGATGCTTCAGTTCTTTGACGGAGTCTGCAATGGCTGGTACAATAAACTATGGCACCCTGACACTAATTCCCATCTTTCTTATTTATCCTTTTGGACCCAAATTCCCTCCCTCTTTTCTAGGAGATCCATATTTGAGCGTAAAACAGAACGCCACAACAATAATACTCACAGTAATGTGTCTTTAAACTATTATCGTTACTGGTTATAAAACACATACCATTTACAGCTTTTTTTTTTTATACTAAGTAGATGGCTCAAGAGCTTACAATCTAAAGGTTATGATGGGGACTAGAGACAAGAGTGAGCAGGGGTAAATTTGAGAGCATTTGCACAGACAGCTAAGATGTGGTTAAAAAGTCTCTGTCACGTCTATATCAAAAATGAATATTTCATAAAGATAGAATAAAATACGCAGATTGACTGTGTTGGGTTTTCACTGAAATTCTAACACAGTCAAAAGATAGGCACTACTTTTTTTAATTCTTTATTTTTCTTGTGCATGAAAAGACAGTGAACATTTTCTTGCGATGCCGCAATAGCAAGTTGGGTAGTAGCATTGAACTTGGTATGGCATACAATAAAACAGCACTTTTTTATATTAAAGACAGGCGAAAACTGAAACGTTATGTCACATGAATAGATATAATTTTATGCTAAAGTTTCTAATAATTCAAACATATGCTTCTGTAAGGTAAGTATAAACGTATGCATCTGTAAGGTAAGTATTTGCATCTATGTGGCTGAGCATTGCTTGCCCCAAGGGTGTTTCCTGCAGCGCTTAATGATTACAGTGCGTTACAAGGTGGGATACAGATATGGTATTTTGAATCTGTGCTAATACAATTGGGGTGGTTGCATAATGTAAGGGATGTCATTAGGCTCTTTAATGAGGGTCGCTAGGGGTGCGGACCACAATGATCTCATACAGTGACGGTCTTTGGTCAATTAAGGAGACCTGCTTAGGGTGACCGAGGTAGCCCGTTAAGTGTGGTGGGTAGGGATCTTTAGGACAGGCTCACTATAGTGTTAGCAGGCTTTTGTGTATCCCCCTATTAGGCCGTTTCTCTGGGTAATCGCGTCTATGTGTGAGACATCCGAGCAGGGCATATAACAGGCAATGAGGGTTAAACTACAATTAGGTCACAATGATCATGTACCAACTAATGCACGTTAACATTGGCAAAAGTCTCCCCTTGCCAGATACAAGAGAGTTCAGTGATGTAAGGGTTACCAACCCGGCAGGTATCAGGGTATGCCGGCAGCAGCTGAGACAGCCGTGGAGTGTGCCCACATGGGGTGGTTCAAGGTCTGTCAGCTGTGGGGCAGGGTGAGAGGCCTTTCAGCCGATGCCCAGTGTGGGAATGTCTCTGTAGCCGGTACAACTGGTCCCGTCGGTGAAGTGCCTGGGCCCGGTTCCAGCTCTTACAGTTGTCGGCGGGGTTATGTCTTGTGCGGCCTCATGGCGTGCAGCATGATCCTGGAGCTGGTGCTTCATGCCGTGCTGGTCAGACGGGCTTGGGTTTGGTGAGTTGCAAGCAGGCAGGATCTGCTTGTTGTGCTTGTGGATCGATGTCCTCTCCCCCATGGGCCGCGGAGGGGCATACCGTCCATGTCCCTTTCCGGCATCCAGCCTCTCTGCCTCCCGAACTGCGGTGCGGCCGGTATTGTGAGTGTCATATCGAGGGGTTGCGCCCTGCTGGGTGATGGCAGTTGGGGCCGTTGAGGTGTAGGCGGGTTTGGCATATTTGCAGGACCCCCTCCGAGGCGTGGGAGCACCAGTGCTGGTGCCTAGGATACTTGGCGTTGTTTCCCTCTGTGCTGGTCTCCGGCTCCGCTGGTGGGCCACTCTAGGGACACGAGGGGGATTCCAGCCTAAGTGGCGCCGGATTGCTGGGCGGATCCACGCCGCCACCTCTTTGATCGCCCTCATGTAGGGCCGTCTCTGAGCCTGGAGCTTTATCCAAAGGCTGGCGCAGATCTGGTCGAAGAACTCCCGTGAGTGCATGGGAGGTTTGATTAGAGTACGTTTAGTGGTAGGCTGTGTCAGTGCCGCCATCTTGTGTGGGCCTGGATATGCCTGTGTTGCTTTGGGTGTAGTCGCTTGGTCAGACGTTGGTGTGGGGGGGATCGTCCCCAGCGAGGACCGGGATATCCCCCACCGGTCCAGAGGGGGGGGTAACAGGGTTGTGCTGATTTCACGCATGCGAGCGGGTCTTGTGTCGGGAGATCGGCCGCCTCCCCCAGACCTCAGGCTCCGCTCCGTTGTAGGCCGCATAGTCGATATAGGGCGTTTCGCCACGCATCGGTGCCGGACCGGTACCGTTCTGTTACTCATGGTGTCTTGAGTGGATCCCTGGTCACCGTGAGTTGCTAGCGTTTGAGGATCGCTATGTGGTAGCTTGTTTGTGCTCTGTAATGCAGGAGCTCTTAGAGTGTGCGACCGGCCATTTTGGTTGCCAGGCCCCGCCCCCCGATAGGCACTACTTTATCTCAGTATTTTTCCTCTTGACAAGGACAGTTCAGGTAAGTAAATCTCACCTTTCCATGCCCTAATATGCCAGCGCTCCCCCAACGGCGACGTCACTGTTGTGCATCTTTGCAAAATGGATATGATCTAGATCTCATAAAATGAATGAGATGAGATAACGGTTTAGTGAACGTATGTACTGCAGGGGGTGAGGTTTGGGGCGGAGGGCATAGTTAAAACAATGGAACGGATAAACAAATGTGTTGTTTAAATTGTAAAATTGTGATTCTTTTAATTGATCAAGACTTGATTTTAAGTTCATTTAAGTATTAAAGCGGCACTGTCACTCCAGCCCTCCTGAAAAATGAGTATTTCACGAAGATAGAATCTTTATCAAATACTCATTTTGACTGTGTTGGAATGTCACTGCAGTAGGGACTACTTTGTCTCTGTATGTTTCTTCCGCCTGTCACTTCTAGACAGTGGGTGGAGTTACTGCCATTTACTGCCCTGTTAATCCCCCTCCCCCACCAGCCGTCACCAGTGACAGCTGTATGGCATTGGCTCGGTCTATGGAGGATCCCTAGTCTCGAGGGATCCTTCATAGATCTCAATACTGTACACTTGCACATGCGCGAGAGTGCAGCAGTGATTGGAGCTGAAGAGGACCCCCCGGAAGAAGATGGCCGCTCCCACGTGGCACAGGTTCAGGTAACTAGAACTCACCGTTACCTGCCCCCAACGGAAAAGTCAATGTCTGGTGTCTTTGCGAATTCTGAAAAGCCCCAGACGGTGACAGTGACGCTTTCAGACCCAATACAGAATTTACAATCTATTTTACATCCTCGGCTAAACAACTTGCAACAGTTTACATCTTACATGAAAGAAAATCTCTTCCACGGCTCCTTGACAGGCTTAATAAAGTGTGCCCTCATAGATTTACCCAGGGATTACCGTTTTGACTGGATATCACTATATTTTGCAAAGAGCAATTAAATATATCCCCAAAAAATATTATTTGGTTTTTTTTTAACCACTGTCATTTTCCTTTTGCAGGAAGATCTACTTGGACAAAGAAGTATTTTTGAACAACCCAACAGTTCAGTATTTTGAGCAGTTCAACACAAGCAGCCGGTGAAAGTACAAAGATTGTTTTTGTATTAATAAAACCACTAAATTAGATCTACCATATCTGATGGTTTCTCATTAAATTAACCTTTTAGAACAGCACATACTTTGTGTCTTTGTTTATTTAACAATAAGATATTTTCACATTATTGTGCCTTGTATCTCCTGCCCTGGGTTCAGCATCTGGTTTCTCTACTCCTTCTGAAACTGAACTTTCCACTTCCACTGAAAGGGTGAGAACGATCATGCAATTTAAGTGGGCTGAAATTGTTGCCCCCCTGTAAGGAGAGGATATGGTGGGTGACATATTTACATTATATTAAAGCAGCCTTATGAATAGCAATCAAGTTGACAAAATGTGACAATAGCTGGAGCTTAAAGCAAGGATCTGTTTAAGTTGCCAATCAGATTTACCCACAATCCATCAGTTAAAATCAATCCCCCAGATGGGCAAACAGCGGACATAACGGGCAGAGGAGAATAAAATAGCGATGCCCAGATATTGAGATCCGGCACAAGGAAATAAAGATAATAAGTATAAATAAAGGCAAGTAGCAAAGGGAGAGAGTGTAATCATTAAATCTGTCACCTAAAATGTACCTTTCTCCTATTGTTTAATCTTCTCTTCCTCTCTCCCAATCTGTTCCTATTTTCTTCATATCTGATCTTACTCATTAAAACAAAGTAGGGACCACTTTATCCTATTTATTTTTACTACGCCTTATAGACAAATCACCAAATATTAATCACAAGGAAAGAAATGGAACCTGAATTGCTTGTTGGATGAAAATTTGTCTGTGGAATTTGTCCTATTGTTAGTTTGTTTTAGCTGCCGGCTCCCTTCTTGTAGTATTTAAAAATGGAAACCGTGGGCAGCTCTACCACACGGTTACCAGTTTAGGGAGTTCTCTACTCCACTGAATATGGCATCAGGTCTAAAACATGCAATTTCCATGTCCATTTCAGCGTCGGCGAATAAAACCCACAGAGTAGGAGGAAATATCTCTTGAGCATAAATCAGATTTCCAGAGATTATGAATTCTTATTGAATTCTCTGTATGGCATTTTAGTGATTTAATCTTATGTTTGCGTAATTGAAAACAAGTTTTGTTTATGAAATTATGATTAGCGGCCTGTACAGGCAGCATCTCCTGTTATTGCTCATATAACACTTTGCAAAATCCATCTGCATCACTTCCAATAAATCATGTATCATTTGCCAGTGTTTCCAATTGTTTACATTGTTAGAAGCAGAACACACTGCCGTGTACGATGCTCAGATAAAGTTCATGCAAAAGACACGTTACAGGCTTGTCCTCCAAACAATTATGTGTTCCAGGACTTATTACGAAAAACCGTCATGCATTAACTATTATTAAATGATATTACATATCTAGACTGCATAATGTCTGTGAAAAAATGGCTGTCATCGTCGGCACTGCAAACTGGTAACTGGCTTCTACCTTTGCAAGCAGCGGTGGGAGGGTCCCATACCTTCCTCATGCATTCCGCCCCCGCCCTCCTCTGTTTAGAACATGATATAGATAGCTAGAGAGAGACATATATATACAGACAGATATATAGATAGATATTTATTGCAATGCAGCCCTCTCATCTCCGGGCATTAAAAATAAAACTTAAAAACTATTATGGACTTAAGGGTTATAGTGACCTTTTAATGTTAAAGTTGATTGACTTCATTAACAAAACAAGGGGGTAGGTCTTTCAAAAGATCAGCAAAAACAACCAATTTAGAAATCCCCAAATAATTTTTTTCATCATTAAATTTAACATGTTGATGTAGCACTTTACCACTGTTTTACTTAAATGTCTGTATGCCATACTCCTGCCCAATGTAACCTTTTATAACGTAAACATAAATACAGAATGACCACATTATGTTTGGAGGTTTAACCCCTTAAGGACACATGACGGAAATATTCCGTCACGATTCCCTTTTATTTCAGAAGTTGTGTCCATAAGGGGTTAATACCCCTTTACCCAACATAGGCAAATGGGTAGACTTTATTTAATAAATTAACCAAAATATAACTTGCAAACTAACATTTGGTTAGCATGATCTCTCCTCTACCAAGCCCTCTAAGAGGAAAACAACCCCTCAGCCAAAAGATTATTAGGACTGTAAGGAGACCCCGTGCTAGCAAGTTAAGAGCCCGTGGACTTACTGCAGGACCAATTGGGTAATCAGCACCCTGCCTGGGTGACCATAACAACTGGACCCTGAAATCTTGGGCTTAGGAGTCCAGGTCAGCACAGGAACAAACCAGCAGCCATAAACGTATAAGAGGGAATGGAGGGTCGGGGGTGGAGAGAACAAAACGGATTAGTGTGTCATGCACGGCAAACTTGACTTAAAACCTAAAATCAGAAGCCATTTTAGTAAGTTCTAGCAGCTTTTTTCAAGGAACACATTAACCTTTACGTCACTCCATTAATATCAGGGCCTCCACGGCCCTTTGCTTGTTTAGCAGATTCTTGCAAGATTTCATTACAATCAATTCATACAGTGGCATCATGGCTGGACAGCGATTTAAAATTCAAACGTGTTGGTGACTTGATTTCTCATCACGATCCACTCCTCTCTTCCTTCATCACCAAGTTAAATCCACTTGTCTATATTACATAAGATGCCGACACAAACCAGAAAGGGACGTGGGTGTCAATATCCTATTAATAATGGCCACGAAGGACAATGGACGTATAGACGTATAGGAAAGCACATAAAAAATTTTCAATGGTAACAATATAATAAAAAAGTATATGTACACACAGAGAAGAATAGTCCATTAGTCTGCCACTGAGAGGATCCATAGCCACGTCTTAAACAAAATAATAAAGAAACGTGTTATTTGACACTTCTGTTATAATCTCTACCAGCTGAAACAGAGCCATGAATTTAATTCCTGTATTAATAATGTAACTGCCCCCCCAGCATAAAAGGGGTTAAACGCTGTTTAGAAGATCTTCCCCTTCCAGAGATACAGGCACAGCTACTGCAGAACACCAAACTCCCGAACTGAATACAAGGGAATGCTCCAAACTCCCGAACTGCATACAAAATAGCACTCCAAACTCCCGAACTGGAACCTCCCGAATAGCTGCTAGCAGACGAATAGGAAAGCACCCAAGCGGCTTACACTCCTAGCAATCAGTCTTCAACAGCATACAGTAAATCCCCCCTCCAAGAACGAGACAAGGCTCCGTGTTGAGGGTTAAGCAGTGGTCTGATTTATTTAGGGCTACCTGCCCAGTATTTATGCAGGTCTCCCAGCTGGTGGACACTCCCCTAGGGGACCAGATGGGAGACTGTAACACGGACAGACATGTATCACATTCAGACACACAGAAGTAAAACATCCCCACAATGCATCCTAATTTCCCTCCCCCTATCCTGGAGATAATTGGGAAGTAATCCAATTATCTCCCAGGAAAAAGGCAAATCGCCATTATACACGTGGGGACACAAAGACAGTAAAATACTTTAAAATATACAAAGTTAAATTTAATACATAAAATACAGACATGTCACATATCCCCAGATAGCTGGGATCTGAGCGCACATAACTACCGAATAGCGCTCAGATCCTATACACACAGTTCAATTGCCATTGAGCCAAAGTCTTTAATTACACGAATAGGCTCCATGGCATAGCTATCTGGGTTAAAACATTCACGTAGAAAAAGTCCCGATCAATCCAGCGTTCGTCTAAACAGTCACAAATAGAAGCAGGGAAGGCTGGAGGCTCAGCGGTGCCTGCACGTAAAAGTGTCCGCTTTTAGTGCACTGATTTCCGGGCTGAGCACCGCTGGCCGTCCGGGGAGCTCCATAACACCACCACCTAGCAGCCGCTAAGTGTAACCGCGGCCACCCAGTAACAGTCAATTAAGCTGCGGTTAACCGCAGCTACTGGGTAGTCAATTGACGGCACACGCTAGCTTCAGGGAGGTGAATTGAAGGCACACGCCAGCTTCCCGGTGGTCGTGCCTTTGGTATTTTGTTCGGTAGATAAAATCTACTGAACGCCCTGGCAGAAAGGCATGAATAAGCCTTTCTGCAGGGAAAATAAAGTATTTTAAAAGTCCGGTCCATAGTCTAAAGGGAGCAGGCGGGCAACCAGGCTCCTCCAATGCAATGTGGCGAGATTGCTCTTGTCACAAATAACTCTCCCTGTTACAGTGATGTAACAATGCTAGCTAGTTGCTGGAAGTATACTTGTCACTGTAGCTGTGCATCCTTTGCAATAGTGTCTGTGCTTGGTGGTCTAGCAAGGGAAACAGGGGAGACACATAGCGGATTATAACTGAGACCGTTCATGTTAACTTTTCACTAAATGTTTTTTCCCTTCCCCTATTTGGGCTGGAATGTGATGGTGGGACAGGTCGAAGAGACCAGTCCTAGTAAAGAATATGAATTGGGTCTACAGGAAAATGGGCATGACTGCCCTCAAAGTGATGCCGTAGGATTGGTGGATAATAACCAGTTTAGGAGGAGACCTCCACATCAAATATATCTCTACATAATGCTGCTCCTACCTACCTATCCTCCCTAATACATATATAGGTCCTGTCTAAGCCCCTACGTCTATCCTTGGTTTGTACTCTCACCTCTGACGCCGCCTCCAAAATTTCTTTAGGGCTGCAATGGGTGGACTAACATTTCCTGCTCCGTTAGACTCTCACCCAGTCTGTATTTCTTCAAAAACTCATTGTAAACTCACTTCTTTATGAATTTATATCAATTAAACTGTAATAGTTATTTCTCCCCGCACATTGATAACCCACCTTGTTTCCTCTCCCGCATGTCCTGTGCCATCTAAACAGCATTATGGGCCCCTGGGCAAAGCAGTGCACTGGGGCCCTGGCTACAAAACATACATACATACAGACTGCTGAATACACACACACACTGCTGAATACACACACACACAGATACTGCTAAATACACACAGGCTGCTGAATATATACACCAAGATTGCTGAATAGACACACAGAGACTGCTAAATACACACATACTGCTGAGTACACACACACACTGCTGAGTACACACAGACACTGCTGAGTACACACAGACAGACTGCTGAGTACACACATACAGGCTGCTGAATACACACACATACACACTGCTGAATACACACACAGATACTGCTAAATATACACAGGCTGCTGAATACACATACACAGACTGCTGAATACACACACAGAGACTGCTAAATGGACACATACTGCTGAATACACCCAGACTGCAGTGAGGGTGCAGTGTATGTGTAATTTGGTGCTGTGTGTGTAAGGGGTGCAGTGTGTTTGTGAGAGGTAGTGTGTTTGTGAGAGGTGCTGTGTATAAGTGGTGCTGTGTGTGTGAGAGAGGGATGCTGTGTGTGTGTGAGGGTACTGTGTGTGAGGGGTGTGGCGTGTTGTGTGGGGGTGCTGTGTGTGAGGGTGCGGGGTGTTGGGTGGAGGTGGCGGGTGCTGTGTATTAAAAAAATATATCCATTTATACAATGTCCTCCCCACCCTTTTTCTTATCTTTGGGGAAGGTGGGGAGGACACTGTCAGCCCTGGTGGTCCGGTGGTGAGTTGTGATCTATAGCCTGCAGCTCCTCTGGCTGCAGGCTGTCTTCACTCCCACTGTGTGGAACGTTGCCATGGTAACGCGCAACAACGTTCCACACAGCCTGCTCGCTGGAGGAGTGATCTCCTCCCAGCTCTCTCCTCTCTCTCCCACTAACACAGGGCCTTCAGGCCGGTAGGGAGATCTTTGATCTTCCCACCGACCTGAGAGGGCCCAC